AATTAAAAAAAAAAAAAAAACACAAATCTTGAGAAGGCTTCCTGTGTATGGAGAAATGAAGCTGCTTTTTCTTGTCTACTTGTGGCATCCAAAAACCAAGGTAATTTTGTATTAATTTTAATACTCGGGCTCTCGCTAATCCATTCTTCCGGGTGGGTGGGTGAATTCTGATGGAGGTGTGTAGCCCTTTCGACTCCGCAAGTTTAATGAACATCTCTAATGATAATGCAGGGGAGTGGGCATGTGTATGGAACCATGTTGCAGCCATATTTGGCGAAGAATGAAGCAGAAATAGAGAGAATGACAGTGGAAATGAAAGTGAGGGCTTGGGATTTGAGTTACCTTTTTTGGACCAACTTCTCAGAAATGGCTCATGCTGGCTTCCTCAGAGTCCTCAAATGTGCTGCTGATTTTCAGTCTGCTAAGTTCAAGAACTCCCCCTTCATAATTCAGGTATTGCTTTATTCCTTCCTATTCTCTCTCTCTCTCGATCATCTCTAAAACAATACGGTAATTAGTGTCCCATCTAGTGAGCCGAGATGAAAACAATACGGTAATTAGTGTCCCATCTAGTGAGCCGAGATGAAAACAATACGGTAATTAGTGTCCCATCTAGTGAGCCGAGATGAAAACAATACGGTAATTAGTGTCCCATCCAGTGAGCCGAGATGAAAACAATACGGTAATTAGTATCTCATCCAGTGAGTGGAGATGAAAACAATACGGTAATTAGTATCTTATCGAACTGTAATTATTGGGCGATGTAAATTTTGGATGGGCTTGAATGATTGGAAAAGCCCAAGAGAAATTGGACTCTAGCCCAATGATGAAGCCCAGCCCACTTGAATGATTGGAAAAGCCCAATGATGAAGCCCAGCCCAATGGAACTGGATTATGTGAATGTGATAGCTGAATAATTAATCTGGATTACGCGTAAGATTCTATTTTTTACTAATTTAAAATTTTTAAAATTTTTAAAATTTAATCTATGGATTATAAACTAATAAAATGCTTAATAGATTTGAGCCACGTGGCAGAAACTGGATGGTCCATTTTCTGATTTCAGTCGATAAATTTTCTGCCCTAATTACGAATTACGATTCAACATTTTATTTTCAGTAAATTCTAAAGAAATTGGACTCAGTATCGTCGCCATTAATGGCATTTATAGCGATTCCGACTAATTCAAAGTATTTTGTTCAGATTCCAAAAATCTTTGAGATTTTCACTAATGATTCTTACTTTAAATGAAATACAGCAGAGAGTCGATCAGAACTCGCCGATGGCGTCGTCACCGCCTCCGAACAAATTGCCCTCGTTTTCGTCCCGAGTCGCCGATAAGATGACCGATTCACCGAGAGGCGCGCCGCAGTCACCCGTCGGAATCGTCCGCGGCGATCCGGACATGACGGAAGCAGACGGCGGCCAGTCTCCGGACTTCTGTGAAACAGAGAGTTTCGTTAATGAGGAAGATAAACCTTCATCTCCATATCCCCCAGCGGTTCGAGCTCGCTTAAGGCGAATTAAACCACAATCATAGATGTTTGTAAATGTGAGAAAGCTGTACAAAAATGGAACGAATTCAGAGGGAAAATATAATTGAAAATGGAATTCTATGTTGCGAATTTATTCGAATGTTGAAACTGTGTCTATTTTTATGAATGTATTTGGAAAATCTAGTCTCCTTAGAGATTGGATTTTGCTAATTTGTGCATGGAAATTGAAAATAAGAGCGATTTATACAGCGAAATCGAATCGATTTAGGTCAATTACAGCGGCTGAAGAAGTCGTCGTCGTCAATAGGCCAATCCAAAATCCCCGAGAAAACCACGCCGTCATAGGCAAATGCAGGACCGGAAGACTCGGATTATTGACGGAATGATACAGCCTCTGATGAATCCGAGACAACTGGAGATCGGATTTCCGGTAGAGAATCGGAGCCATAAACCGTGGAAAAGATTGGGGCCAGCGGAATAGGACGAAGCGGACATAGGTTGGAGATAAGCCCAAGCGGCCTGCTTAACGAGGCGGTTGCGGATCAAGATTTCGTAGCCGGAGTTAGCGGGGGAAGCGGCGGTGGGAGAGTTGACGGCGACGGCGGAGGAGGGAAGGATGTCCTTGAGGGAGGTGTAGGATTGAGAAGATGACTTGGAGAGGAGCCTCAAGTCAATCGGGGACGGCGGTGGAGCAGGGGAAAGGGTGCCGTTTTGCGGAGGCATGGCGGAGGAGGGAATCAAGCTTCTGCGGCAGAGATTAGCAGGTGATGGCGACGGCGACGGCGGTGGGTAGGTTTTCTGTGCGGCGGATTTGGCCATAGAACGTCGAAAATGGGTATAGAGAGAGAAGATGGTTACGGTTTTAATCAGAGGAAAAGAAAAACGTTGTGGCGAAAGAAAACACGGAGGCTTCGCCTTTGCAATTATTTGCAAACTTGTCTCTTTCTGACGTGTTTTCCTTTTCTCATTTTTTTAAATGTTAAATTATTGAAAATATTCCACAATTTTCACAAATATTCTTAATTTTGTTTTTAAAAACTCTAAATATTTAAAAGAAAATCATTATATCTTATTTTAAAAATATTCTATTAATTTCTTAATTATTTTTAAAATTTTAAATCTAAATGGAACTACTCTTTAGGTAATATAGACTAGAGATTCTATTTTAACTCTGAGAATCAGCACTATGTCAATTCAAACTCAATTGAATTATATTCAAATTATCTCTAAATAACCTAAAATATATTTTTAAGCCAGACCCAATAATATTTAAATAATTTTTAATAATTTATATTCTTATTTAAAGAGACCAAGTGACTTGCCTCCCACTGCCAATAATTGATTTTGGTACTTCAAACAAACAAATAAATAAAATTTATAAAATAATGACCGTATGGTATTTTAATTTTATATATTTTTTTCATTAGAAGTTTGAAATTGTTAGGAGGCTTAGATAACCAAATAATAATAATAATAATAATAAAATAAAATAAAATAAATCCAAAATTATTATAATTGTTAACTTATTATTGATTAGTGACTTGTGGGTTCCTTAACTTTGAAAAGTTTAATTTTGTTGGTAGACAGACTTTATTAAAATGACAATATATTTTCGAACTTTTTTTTTTAAATAGAAAAAATCTTATTAATTAATTCATGTGGGTTCATAATTTTAAAGAAAAATCTTATCTTGATTCTTAAATTTATGGTTTTTTTTTTTTTTTCAAATCTCAACTTTGATTATGGGTTCGTTTTACATAGATTCTAATAAAAAAAATTAAAATTAAAATTAAAAATAATGAAACAAAAATAAACCTGGATTTATTTATTTTTTTTAATTTTATTTTAGAAAGTAAAGCAAGTTTTTCATAAACTCCAAATGAAGATGGAGTTGATCGATTTTCCTTGATTTTAAAGATTTTGCAAAAATAAAAATAAATATTAATGTTAGAAGAAATAAATAAAAAGATGAAAATGTATTAAAATTTACAAAAATATTTTAAGAAGATGAAAAGTTTGTGGTGGTCCAAAGCCAAACCCACCGCGGACCAATCAGAAATGTTTGGACCCATCGTAGTCAGATCTCCACCCAAGTTAGTGAAGACTATATAATATACTAAGATTTCAATGAAATAAAGTTGAAAACTATATAATATACTAAGATTTCAATGACATAAAGTTAAAGACAATATAATATACTAAGATTTCAATGACATAAAGTTGAAGGAAGACTCTATACTAAGATTTTACTGAAATAAATCTTAGGTGGAATCAAACCCATCAAATTTGACCAAATAAATATGCATTCAACCTCCCATTTTTCTTTTCTTCCATTTTACATAAAAACTTCTAAATTTTCCTCCATGTTTAGAAATAAAACAATTCTATCAAAATCAATTTTAATTGTATGTAAAATATGTTGAAAAGTATAAAATATGGCATTAAATTGATTTTTAAATGACGAAAGGCTCGTTCCAGAGTGACTTCGAACATGACAAAAGTGTTTTAACCAAAACATTCGAAGAAGTTTTTTTGATAATAATGAATAGACCGTACCGAGGTCTATAGTAATCTATGGTTTCCATAATCCTTGGTTAACAACAAACTTTGTCTCAAAATTTCAATTAAATCAAACTATTTCTACGCCTTATCAGAGATATCTCAAATCAAACCCCTTTATTGTTAAAATGGATTTGAAACTGAAGATGAAAAGTTTTACCAACGCATTGAAGCTCTTGGCGGCCTAATAATGTCTGGAAACCGATCTTACATGCGTCTGCCCATCTGCAACCTTACAAAAGTTTGTTTCTATTTCCTGAAATGATCCAAGTTCATAAAAAATCAAACAGAATAGAGGTCGAAAGAGATAGAAGCACAAGCATGTGTAAATACGAACCTCTGCACACCGCGTACGACTAGTCCTCGCAATTTATATTCTATACCATGCTTGGAAAATCTTCCCAGTACATTACTTGGGTTATAGAAATTACACTGTACAGTTGAGCTTGAGTTCCAGTACAATTCAACTGTTTGTTTGGCTATAAATCACATCTTGAGTAATGAGAATGGGAACAGATAATTAATGAATTAAAGTCAGACCTGTTCCTTTGTCACCTCTGTCTTGAGTTAACATCAGATGGTGCTTCGACTGTCTCCGAATGTGGGCTTCCGGGTCTTGGCCTTTGGGCACTGACATCAGATATCAAAAAGTCCTGAGAAACCATATGCGATTCATCCCATGCAATATCTGCTGTAGCTAAAGTGAAAGAATTCAACTCTATCGTCAGTTCTTTCTATGGTTTCTTTCCCTTTTCTGAAATTTATTATAAAAAAGTATGAATAACAAGATGGTGGTATTAAATAAGGATACAATCTGTTCTCCACATATCTGTAATGCTAACTTCAGCATCTGATAACAGCCAGTAATCTGCATCATTCTGCAATCAAATAGTAGGAGCATATAAAAAGCAACCAACCATGATCTGATCTCATGAATAATGATCAATCAAAGCCATTTGCACAGATCACGCATATGAACACACATATCATGTAATTCATTGTAGTGAAATGAGTTAAAACGAGTGAAGATAAGCGAGGTGTCTTTTAGGACATGTATCCCAATCTATTCTCTTTATATTCCCTGGAAAAGCATGTCGTGGCATATTTATCTATGCTCTTTTTGACATTTTTCTCAATGTGAATATATTATACAAGGATGATATGCTTACATCAAATTCTGAAGGAATAATCTTCATCATTCCCCCAGGAAACTCATTTGAACCATTCACATCACAGCTACTGCTGTATTGGGACAGGTGAGCTTGAGGCTCTATTTCGTCTCTACTACTCTCCCTGATGGCTTCTGTTGCTAGATGTTCGTTTGATCCTGAACTGGAAGCATGTAGGAAGTTCCTGGGTGGCTTGACCACATTCACCTCCTCAAACTTTTCCTCAAATTGACTATAAGAAACAAGGAGAATTTTAATACGAAAAAACAATTAAATTATTTTTTGCATAAGAAAGGTTACAGTTACAAAATAAGAAAAACTGAAAAGATAGAAAAATGGATATTATATGAACAATCATTTAATTAACTCTTCACGGAATGTGATCTATAAGAATCAGCGTCAAAAGAGAATAACACAATGATGTAGGGAAAAGGATACCTGACAAGATATACATCGATAGGACCCATCGTACTCCTAAGAACTATCCTATATCTTCTCTGTGGATAATCAACAGCCTAGCATGATGAAAATAAGAACGTGCTTTCAGCTATCAGTAAAGGGGGAGCAAAAAGGATATGGCGCATAACAAATAGCTTTCTTAAAACTTTAAGCTCATTACTTCATCAGGATCAGGAACTTCCAATGTGGTTCCATGCGGAGCTTTAATTGCTATCAGCGTTTCATTCTGCCCAAAAAAGGAGAGCTAGTTTAAGTTTTAGCAACGTTTTCATATAATGAACTAAACGTGTACGGTTTCATATAAAAGTTACTGTAAAAAATATTAATATATAGCTAAAGCTCACCGATCATCATCTCATCATTATACTAAGAAACATTAATTTGATAGAGCTCAAAGTTGGACCTAGTTTGCCTTTAAACAACTAGTGTCTCAAAAGTATGACCCTAACAAGTGTCCTATACGTGTTCAGCTAGTGCGAGGTGTCCAACACGTGTTAGACATGGATACGCTAGCTAAACTGAAGTGTTTGTGTTTGTTAGGATGATATAAATAAATGTTAAAATTAGAAGTAATGTTCGAGCTCAAATAAAGTATTTATGACAAGTTCACCTGAAAGCAAGGCAAGCTTTTAATGTCTTCTTCTGTCACAAAGAGCCATCTATCATGATTGGAAACATATGCAATGTTGTTATTTTATTCATATAGCACTAAGTGGAAATGGAACAGAAAGGAGCAGAAAGAACTACTTTTGGAGATTTTCGTCTTCACTCAGATTCCTCAGTCTTTCCTGCAATGTTCTGCAACATAATTATGGACATGAGTTCATCATTTTTTATTCAAGATATAGAAATGAATAACAGAATAAATATGCAACCTTATCTTATCATTTAATCTACGCTCTTCAAAAGAAAGGTTTTCAACATCCACCTGCAGGATACAAAGTGCACTCTCAAATTACGACTGTTACACAGAATAGGTTCAAGATAAAGACATTATTGGACATTTCAGTACATAGTTGTACAAACGAAAACTAGAACTTCCTTTAAAATAATTCTTCAAAACAAAATGCCAGAGTTTTAAAGCCCAAAGACAGTAGTCAAAGCTACAAACCTGCAACATAGAAGTATCACTATCCACATTTCCTGGAACTTGTGTATTGAATCCCCTGTGAAAATATTGAATAGACTTCTAAATGAATCATTTGTTTCAATTTATTATCAATATTTCTATTTAACAACGAAATGAAAAGGAAAAAAAAAAAAACTAAACCAACACATCTATTGTACATTACTTCCAATATATTATGTTTTTCAGCTTCTTTTCTATGAGACCTATGCCTTCCAAAACATTTGTTATGTCATATATTCTCCTTTTCTGCACCTGTGTGATGTATATCTCATATTAGTCACCACTAGACAGAAAATCAAAGTTCAATGTATTTTAAATTTTTACCTGCAAAGTTTCTGCAGCTTTGTTTAAGTCAAGAATGCCATCCCTTGCTTGCTTAATTAAATTGATGAATTTTTTTGTCAGAAGACCTAAAAGTTTCAGATACTTTCAAACACCATTGATGTGACAAGAATCCATGCATCGAGGTAGCTTGGACTGAATGAATAATATTAAATTGGCAAGAACTGCAAAGTTACCTAAAGAACTGTCATATCGACAGTTTCCAGCTGGAGTAAGAGGAGAATAAATGCCTGCTATAAGAGAAAACTAATTAATATTATTCATGCTGATTTAATACTCATCAAAGGATTATACTATTAAAATTCAGAAATTCCCTTAAAAAGTCCATACCCTATAACGCCACACAAACAAAACAGGATTCAAAATATTGACCAATTAATTTTCAGCAACAATGTCATATAAAAAAAAGTTACCAGCTACAACTTTCAACCTAAGAATATTAAAACCATATAAAATTTCTCACTAGTGTCTGAGATAGGTGTTTGAGTCCCAGATGTCATTCTCCTTGAAGTTTTTGACTTATTGTACATCCTTCCTCCTTTTGCAGATACGGGTGTCTGAACAGAACTTAGAGAATCTTTAGAAAATCCCTGATCTTGAATGCAGTCATTTGATTCAACCACGTTGGTATACATAACACCTGTCTGCTTTGGTTTCTGAAAGAAACATCAAGGGGTCGACAATATTAGAATTTAGAAGCAAGTAGAATATTAGAAGATAATTTTCAAACACAGCAAAGAAGGATTGAACAATATATGCAATTGAAATAGAAACTAAGAGATCAGTTCAGAATACATGTTCTCGGTAACTATACGCTTACAAGGTCAACAGAAGCATCCTTCCCGGATAAATTAAAACTCTCAAAATGGACCTCACGGGGTAGACCACAAAACTTAAGCCTTTTGTAGAATGGCTATTGAGTAAGACCAAAAAAAACAAAAGAATTGAACACTTTTAAGTATTCCCCTCCAAATGGATCTGTAGAAATCATTTTGATAAAGGTTCCATGTAGTTGTGATTTCAGAAAGTGGGAACTGGCAGAAGTTATAAGTGGAATCAAAATGTTCCAAATCCTGCGATCCCTAGAATCACAGCATTGAGGAGCCGAGTCAAGAGATAAAGCAAATCCACTCAATCACCCCCTTGTCATTGAGATTGCATCGAAAATATAAATTCAACCCATTTTCAACAGCATTTCAGAAACTTCTAGTATTAGAGAGATTACAAGAAGCCAGTGCATACAATCTCCAAAAAGAAACACATACATTCTGATCACCAAATCAAGTGGCATCCCAAAACCCAACCGTTTCCACCTCCACATCAAACTTTGAGGAGCAAGCCAAGGGCACCTAGCTATGAATGTGCAAGGGTTATTAGCCAAGGAACAAGAGCATTTACCAATAATATACCATCCAGAAGGATCGCTGCATATTTACAAGAGATAATTTTCCATTTAATGATCTGTTTTCTTTCTAGTTAAAATCCCTAAAGAGCATTTAGCAAGGAGAGAAGCATTCTATTCACTAGAACTGCCTGTTCCCTATACGGGGTTATACCAAGCTTCCATCCTTCAAGGGACAAATAAACTACCTTTCTAATTTGCCGAGTGATAACGATCATTGAAACCCATCCCTTCGGAAATGATGTAGGTAGCTCACTTTACTTTGAAATTGAAGAGGGAGGTAAAGTAAGTGGGAATGTTCACCGTGTCAAACAGGATTAATATATGCCTTACTCCTCTCAAGCCTAGATACATAAAACTTCATCCATTTTGAAAGCTTCCTCTAATTCTTTAGATCGTGGGGTCCAAAACACAATCTTCCTAGGCCTGCCCCAGGAGGCAAACCTAAGGAAGAAAGAACTCAAGAGAAAGAGTTGAAATCTAAGGAACGCTAGAAGTTGCCAGGACATATAAAATATTGTTGGAATGCCTTAATATCTAAACTATCTACAGCATGTGAGACAAATTCTCTAATGATGTTTAAGGTGTAAAACATAAATGCTTAGTTCTTATAACAAGCAACAGGAGTTGAAGACACAGACATCTAACTTCAAATGTTCTTTGATAAGAAGTGAGAAAGGCTTCTTCAACAACGTTTGGAAAGCCCCACTATGAATACTTCCACAGAAGAACACGTACACAATGATTGACCAAGATGAGGAAAACATTCCATTTTCAAACAGCTCAGACTGAGACTAATACACGAATCGACTCACCTTGAGGGCTTCATAAAAGTATAATTTAAAACATACAAGCAGACACGACGAACGTGCAATGGTACATGAATCCACATACGGTTTGAAAGCAACAAGTGACAAGGAAGCAAATAGCAAATTATGCAGCAATGCAGAATAGAGACAAGTCAATAAACAAATTGCAACACTCACGAGAGGTTTAACAGCGATGGAATCAGGTTCTTGATCAAAAGAATTGGAAGAAGCACGCAGCGGCTTATTCGACTCGAAAGCTAACTGACGCTTAAGAGGCGGCAGGATCTGAGCAGTTTGCGAGTGGGGCAGTGGCTCCGACCTGTTCGGAGCTCGAGAGCCGCCACGCATGGAGGATCCAAAGGCCAAGAGAAAACGAATACAGAGGATTTGCAGATGGAAGATGGAAGATGGAAGATGGGATGAAAAGCCGAGGAAGAAGAGGAATAGGGTTCTATGATCAGAGTGGAACTAAAGGTGAAGATTTGAGGAATAGCATTTGGTAGCTTTTAGATGGGAGGAGGGAAATTTGTTTAGATGGATGTGGAGGGAAGAGTAGCGGAACAAAAATACTTTTTTTTCTTAAACTATTTGCATTTTGACCCCTGAAATCCTTCCATATTGCATAAGAACCCCACATGAAATTATAGATAAATTTTTCTCTCTTTTAAATAATAAATTCAAATTTATAATCATTAACTTATAAGTCATGTTACATAGAGTTTATACCTAACAAATATATTAATTTGTGGACAAAAATATTTAGGGTTATTTCTGAAAAAAATTCAACAAAGATTTAATGAAATATTTCAAAATTGAGAGTGTAATTAGAATTAATGATAGTTTAGGGGTATTTTTATAATTTAAAAAAATTAGAACGAGCGGTTCCTTTCCTTTACCGGCATTTCCCTCTCTCTTTGGTAAAGAAATTTCACAACTGAGAACTGATTGAAAATGAAGATTTGCAGTTACGGAAGAAATTGAGATGAGGTTCGAACAGTTTGAGCCATAGCCGAGGTTAAATTTCTTCGTTCTTCAACCGTGACTCCATTTGTGTTGCTTTTTGGAGCTTTCGAGTAATTATTAGAGAGAAATGGCCGCACAGTCGACGAGCATGAAGTGATTCTTGCATCGGTGTGTCTTTAAATCCATCACCACTGATTCACCCATGGCTTTCATGGGGAGCTTCCCCAGAGCAAACATGCTTTCGCCGCGGACTGTGGTACTTCGCTCGCCTTCGCTGCGGACCAAGAACCGAGTTGGGGTTCTCAGAGCACATCTCTGTGAAGACGACGACCCTTTGTTCCTCAGTGCTAAAGAAGCTGCGTCTCTCCGCTTCATGGAATCCCGCCAACCTGGTATGTTCAGTTTCCATCTATTTATTTCGGGGAGACGTTTCGTCGAACGACTGGTGTGCACTTAGTGAGTAGTGGGCAGGGAGTTTAGAATCAGAGGAGTGTTGTGTAGTATAGCAAATGAAACAATTTATGAATTGTTTTAACGTGCTTAGAACTTGATTTTATATGACTTATATGTATGCAGAGCCCCTTTTTGTTGATGAATATGCCGGCTGCTGGGTTGCTCATAATCCTCAAATCAAGCAAAAGTCTCACCACTATTGTGTTGCAACAAAGTTCTTAGATGATAAGTTGATTAAACAACTCAATCATATTAATGGAGTTAAGCAGGTATTAGCAAATAATTATAAGAAATAAGTCAGAACTTAACAAGTATCAGTTTCTTAACATGTCTCTAACATGTGTAGGTTGTGTTGCTAACGGATGGAATGGATACTAGACCATATAGGCTTCGTTGGCCCATGTCGACAACAATATTCGACATATCTCCAGACAATGTTTTTAGAAGAGCGGCTCGAGATCTGCAAGGTTTGTTCTATCTAAGTTTTTACATAAACAGATCTTTGTCTGTTAATTGCTGCTAATTTGAGCCTTACATTGAACTTTATTTATGAGCTATCCAATTTGTTTACCATTTAACTATTTCAGTTATCAATATCTGTTGGAATTATTAATTGCCATAAGCTGCAAGGTTCATGAACTTGATCTGATGTTCGCGAAATTGATTAGGCAAGCAGAATGTTCATGAAATTCACTGCAGCTATAAGGCTTATGAAGTCCATTATAGAATATGATTTAATGTTCTTGAAAATGATTAGGCAGTGGAGCCAAGATCCCAAGAGGCAACTTTTTCTGCCATGTCCCATTGGAATCCCCAAATATACCGCTAGAAATCTGCAATAGAGGTTTTCGAGGAGATCAACCGAGTATATGGGTGATGCAGGTGATGAACAGTTCTTAATATATCTTATAAATTGTTCTTCGGTTCGGGTCAACCCGAAGTTTTTGTCCTATGAACCCGATACCGAACCGAATCAGTTCGGGTTCAGAAAAATGAACTCAACCCAACCCAACCCCTATAATTCGGGTTGGGTTAGTCTGAGTTGTCGGGTTGAATGTACACCCCTAATGAACACTCTTGTTCAATGGATGAAAGAAATGAAGTTTTGGGTGGAGTAGCAATAGTAAAAGTGCTTAGTTTTTATTTTCTTATTGTATTTCAGGGACTTCCCATTAAGACTTTGGTGGATTTTGAAGATGTTCTGTTCATTGTTAGCAGTTTGGCTATGAAAGGAAGCTATTTCTTAGGTGAATTACCTTCTTGGTTGGCTGAAGCTGAAATTAAGTCCAGGGTTAGTTTGCTTTAGTTGCATTGAGTGAGGAGCATTTTTCTGTCTTCAATTGCTTCTCTGCCTCTCTAAACATGCTGCCATTTTTATGATTCCTATTACAGTCCAGTACAGGTACAATGAAGTGGATGGACAAAATTTTTATGAGCAATGGTTTTCGGGTGGAAACGATCATCCTCGAGGAATTTGCAAAGACGTTAGGCAAGGAATTGACGTTGGAACCCTATAAGAACACTCCATTTGTTGCAGAACAATTGCGATTTTCAGATTACGAGGTAGAATACTTTGCTCCTGCTGCCTCTTTTCTGTGTGGTTCCTGTCAACATGCTAAGAACTCTAGTTTCATTGTGATGTTTTTCTCATTGGATTACTTCTAAAAGTAGTAGTGTTTGACTTATTTGCTTTAACTTATAGTTGCTAATGCTTTGAATGCTTTGAGTTTGCATAGATATATGATATATGATTATTTTCAGATGGAAATTTGGAGGAAGGAATTCGAGAGGATTGAGAATGAAGGAGATGAAGAAGGATTTGAAGAACTATGACTTTGTTCATGAAGGTAACATCTTTTTTTGTTCTTTCATTTTTAAATGAACAAGGCAATCTGATTTCAAAGTTTTTTTTTTTTTTTTTTTTTTTTTTCTTCTTGAGTTCAACTATTGTGAGGGTGGGAAATCCCTTTGGAATGGTCACTGATTCTTTAGTACTCGTTAAGTTGTGCTCGGATGGACAATCTAATTCATCATGTTTAAAAGTTATAAGAAGTTGTAATGTGTGACGTTCGAGTTGCAATTTGTATAGTACAACAATTATTTAATCAAAATAATGAAATTTGGAAACAAATGGCGGCTCCACGTGGCCCCATAATAAGACAATCATCCATTAATCAATTAATTAGTCTATTAAACAGGGATGTCACTGCAAAAATATTTTTTTTTGGAGGTATAATTAGTCAAATTAAGAACTCAAAAAAGTCCACTATTTTAGGATTCCAATTCTTATATGCTTGAATTAATCAAAATGCAAATTACATCATCAATTTCTTCTTTCTTTTTAGTAATTTTAAAAAATATAGATAGTCTCAAAATTTTAAATTCTACCTCTAATAGATTCATGAATTTTAATTAATGTCAAGAAACATGAAAGTCCAAGTCTATAACAAAGATGAAATTTTTAATTTTAAATAATCTTGTTTCAAAATTATATTATAAATTTTTAGTTTTATATCTAATAATTTCTCGATACATCCAAAGTTTTAAAAAATTTAGTGATTTTTATGGTATAAATTTATAAAGTTATAGGTTTTTGATTTTTTTTCTATTAGATATTAAAAATTTAAAGACCCAAAATTATTTAAAATATTTGGAGCATAGACTTTTGTTTGAAAAATATTTTTATATTTTCCATCTTTTGATAAATATTTCAAAATTATTTAAAAAGTAAAAATCTTTTAAGAATTTAGGATAGAGATTGAGAGAGATGTGTTGGTGAGCTATAAGGTTTGAAGGAAGGAAGGTTATAGCGTTGTTGTAGGTTCAGATTGTGTCAAACCGCGTTTAGTTTAGAGTCTCCGATGAGCGGATAAAGCCTTCTCCAATTGATTCCGCGCTTTCAAATTCTTTCTCACTCTTCAAACCCTAATTTTTTTTTTTTTTTTTATAAATCCCCAAATTTCCCCCTTTCCCCTCATCCCTTCAAACCACACTCGACTCTCCTCCCTCTCTCTCTCTCTTCTACAATGGCCAATGGGCAGCCTCATCTCAACGGAGCTTTCTACGGCCCTTCCATTCCTGCCCCCTCCAAGTCCTACCACCGCCCCTCCCGCGGCGACGGAGGATGCGGCTGCTGCGGTTGTCTCGGCTGTCTCTGCAACTGCTGCTGCGGTTGTATCGTCAATCTCATCTGTCAAATCATCATCACCGTCGTCATCGTCGTCGGCATTGTTGTGTTCCTCTTGTGGTTGATCTTCCGTCCGAATCTTCTCCAATTCCATGCCGTCGATGCTTCTCTCACGCAGTTCAATTTCTCCACTGCTAATAATAACCTCCACTACAATCTGGCTTTGAATGTCACCGCCAGAAATCCGAATCGGAGGATCGGGATCTATTACGACGACGTCGAGGTTAGCGCCTTCTACGAATCTCAGCGGTTCAGTACGGTGAATTTGAGCCAGTTTTACCAGGGGCACAAGAACACCAGTTTACTCAGCCCTACGTTCGTCGGACAGCATATGATTCTGCTAGGGACGGATGGAATTTCGTCGTTTAATTCTGAGAAGAGCTCGGGGATTTTCAAGATTGATGTGAAGCTTAACTTGAGGGTCAGATTCAAGTTCGGCTTTGTGAAATTTGGGCACTATAAACCGAAGATCAACTGTCCATTGAAGGTGCCTTTAACATCCAATGGTACTTCTTCTTCTTCTTCTTCTTCTTCAAATGGTGTGTTCGAAACCACCAAGTGCAGCTATGACTTGTAATCGTTAGATCTCAATTTTCTGCCATCTTCTTTGCTTTCTCTTTTCCGGATTGATCTGCTGTGATTATTAGTTCTTGATCCGTATCTGTTTTTACTGAATTCTTATTAATTCAATTTTTTTTTTGTTTTTAGATTCAATATTGAAATTCAGCTGCATTTGTTTTGAAATTGAAATTTACTTTTCCAAAAACTGTATAGAGAGAGAGAGATAAGAGACAGCTTTATTGTACGCTACGCGATTTGATAGGAAGCATGGTGGTAAGTGGGTCCCACCATGACACGGGATTTGGTTTCAACTTTCAAATTTTGAGTTTAATTTTCCTTTTTATTTCAAATTGTTTATTCAACGGCACGATGCGAGCGGCTTTCCTTCTGAAAGGTTATTTTTAATACATTTTTAAATTAAGGACCAAATTGAAATGCAATTTTCGAAAGTCAAAATAAAAATAAAATGTAATAATAGTATTTAAAGTTTAGAAATAAAAAACGTAATAAATAATAGTTGTAGTATTTAATTGAATTTTTTAAATCCATTCAAGTATATATATATATATATATCCCTTTCACATTTTTTTTTTATAAAAATATATATTCAATTTTATGAGATTAATTAATCTCGTAGCTTATCACATCAAAAATGAATATTTATACCTGGTGTCACAAATGCATTCTTGAGATTATATTAGGACAATGATTGTGAGACATTTATTTTAACCTAGTAAATAAGTTAGTCATATGATAGGTGAATTTTATGGACTATTCTAACATATGACGGAGTGGTTAAAAGCGAATAAGCAACAATGATTTTGATAGCATATAAACTTAGTAGGAAAAATTGACAACTAATCATGTCTCTTATAGCACATTATGAGTTATTTTAGCATTGATAGGTGTAAACATAATTTTGACATAACACACCAACAGTATGACCATGACACCTAACCGACACAACTAGAAATTTTATGAATCTAAACTTGTAATTTAACCATATATATATGTATATGTATATATATTGTTATATGTTACCTAATTTAACCATATATATATATGTATATGTATATATATTGTTATATGTTACCTAAATTAAAATTATGGCCATTCACATAGAAGTTGAGATTATACATGATCCTTAGACAAAATATATGTCTTAATCAATTGAGTTATATTTAAATTCACCTCTTAGCCCTAATAATTATCACAACCTCAACCTAACTTGACCTAGTCAACAAATCTCCCAAATCCTAATATGAAATCATTTTTTTTTTCTTTTTCGAAGTTCATCCACGTGTAAATGCAAAAATCTTCTCTTTTGACATTTGGTAAAAAGTACATACCTAAGTCAATTGAACTAGATTCAAGTTAACAATACCCAAGTTAACGATAAAAGAACCGTCGAACAAGTAAAGGATTCCTCCCAATTGACTTATCTCAGGGGTCGCCCTCTCAGGTTTGGGTATTGTTCCCCACTGATCGTAGTATCGGAGAAAAGCCTATCTCAGTAATGTTCAAAAAACAGGAAAACCATTAATACAAGTAAAACAATATCACAAATTTGGATGGTTAATCCACATTCATATGAATCATTCCCCTTGAGTGGCATAGGCCGCACTCAATCTTAGAAGTCTTATCCAGTGGAACAAACTATACATACACTAACACTTGTGCAATTGAGTTGCTAGTAATGTGTATTCCATTAGGAAAGAAGGACCAAAATGACAAAGAAAACAATGGAAGGACTACAATAAAAATTTTAAAAGTTTGTGAAAAAGAATCAAACCCCTTCTTGGGATAAAAACCAAACATTAATCTAAATGGTAATAATTAAACGTTTCATTATTTTCCTCACTTTCCCATTTGCTATACAACCACTACCATGTGATATACAGCTCCATTGCTTATTTTTAGGCTACACGAAAGGTGCACCTCACAATCTTCATGAAAAAAACAAAACAAGGAAAATATGGTCTCTTTTGGTCAGTTATGGGCTAAAAACGCATCCATAAACCAAATAAAGGCATCCTCTATCCTCGAATATTACATAATTCTTAACTAAAAATTTGAATGTCTAACCTCTTAATCCATAAAATAAGTCAAGTATGCTAAATGTGAGGTTTAATTAACATAAAATCATACAATAGTAGCATTCATACCATGAGAGAATTCGATCAACTTAGACTACCAATCTAATTTTGGGTTGGATTAGATTTCTTTTAAAGCTTAGGGTTGAGTTCAATTTTGGAAAAAATGGAAAATTGGAGTCAGTTTGAGGGTTGACATGTCTTCCATTGGATCAATCCAACTAACCTAAAAATAGGATTACAATCTAACCCAACTCTATCCGGTTATTATCAACGCTAAGTAAACACCAAATCTGTGATATTTGTACCTTACCTATTTGAAGTTTATAAAATCAATTCGATGAACAATGGGAAAATTGAACATACCAGGGCTGGGCATAGACGTAGGCAGATGATAACTCTGCCTAACGTGGCATGCAGTGTGGACTCGGTGGATTGCAGTGCCCAGCAACTTGTCATCTCCATTAACTCTGCAAATCAAAAGCTCCATTGCCCCCAAATCATCTTCTTCTGAGCAGAGATCAGATCAGATCAAATCAAATCCATGGAGTTTTTTCTCATTCCATTTCTCCTTTCCATCGTTCTTCTTCTTTCCGCTTCATCTTCTTCCTCCAGCACCACCGTCACACTCCCCCTCACTGTCTTCCCTTCACTTCCATTTGCTCATCCATGGAAAAACATCAAGCATCTTGTCTCTGCTTCCCTCACCAGAGCTCAACACCTCAAGACCCCAAGAACTAAATCAAATACTTCCATTCAGAATGTTGCTCTGTTCCCTCGTAGCTATGGAGCTTATTCAATCTCTCTCGCCTTCGGAACTCCACCGCAGAGTTTATCCTTAGTTTTCGATACTGGAAGTAGTCTCGTCTGGTTCCCATGTACTGCCGGTTACCGCTGTTCCAATTGTTCGTTTCCGAATGTCGATGCTGCAACGATTCCGAAATTCATCCCCAAATTATCTTCCTCTGCGAAGATTATTGGTTGCCGAAATCGAAAATGTTCTTGGATTTTTGGCCCTAATTTGAAGACCTTGTGTAGA